AAGAGATTTGCACATACATACATATAAATAACAAGAATTATTTCACGCGTTAATTGCAACATATATTTAAAAATTTAATAAATTGAATTAATGTTTGAAACAATTTATTGACTATTAGAAAAAAGGAAAAAATAAAGCGTTCTCTCGTTAAAAAAAAATAGAAAAGAAGTATCAGCCAGCGATTTTTGTTTCATAGAAATAAACCATGACTTGGTAACTTTCCATATGGCCGCCAAGCTTGCCCGCGAGAAGTATTCGGCCCTCTTGGTATTACGGTAGCGGTCTGTTAGCGATAATTTACATGGGATATTGGCGTGATCTAATTCGGGCGCGTTCTGGCAGCCGACGGATGGACGACCGTGTCACGTTCGATTATATCCAGAAGGACCGCGCTCCGTAACTATGAGCTTGCGAACCTTAAATGAAGTGTTAGTTGACGCGACGAGCCGTCGATCTAGATTACTTGGTCTAGACACGGTCTTCACTCTGACGTTTGAAGGCCTGAACGGCCCTTCGGCGTAGAATGACGTCGAAAAATTATATTAAGGCAAAATATACATCTCAAAATACAAAATTATGAAATGATCAAAAAAAAAGAAGATTCTCGTATTAAATATTACAAATCTCACCGCGTCCAACTTTCTTAATAAAAAAAACTTTCTCCGCATTTTTAGCATAATATAAACAATATTAAATCCTCGTGCAGATAGATAGCATAAAATTTAAAATTTATGCAGCTTAATTTATGCAGCTCACACATATAAGTAAAAATACGAAATGTAATTTTATTGAAAAAATATATGTATAACTATTTTCTATTCCACAAAAAAACAGATTTGTCGCAGCAATTTAGAGATATCCGTATAGCGAAATAATTGTCGCGAAAATTACAGAATAATGTGCTTTATTTTGCGACCCTACGACGTTCCCCTCACTTGACGAACGTTTTAGCGGCCATTCTGGTTTACTGTCAGCGGTACGAATTAACACTCGAGCTACCGCCGTTCGTTTATCGTCGACTGTGAATCATCGAGATGTCACACTTTTATTCCTGCGAGGAATATAAACGCGATAATTATTTCGCTAAATATAATTCAATTCTGCGTTAAATCGGGTAAAGGAAATTCCTGTAACATACGTCCTCTTAGTAGGTACGAAATGTGTATAATTAATTATCGTTACTTTTGCTCTTTATTAAACATCTGATATGGCGTGACAATACCTTAAAAAAATTCTTTCTTTCATATCATATATTTCATAATTAATGTATATTTCATTATGAAACTGCATGAAATGCAAGATTCAAACAAGGCATTATATATCATTTGCATCTCATCAACTCGTTAACAGACTCGATCATATCATCAAATCGTGATGTGTAAATAAGTGTGCGAAATTTTCTGCGAGATCAATCGGACGTCTACGCGATCGCGCGGATTCCTCGTATTCGCGAAGATCGCCTCGCTTCAAAGTAACACAGAAAGACGGTACCAAGAGTGAAAAGCGAACCTCCGGAATATTTTCTCCGAGTTCGTTTGCACACGCTCTCGTCGGCTGGGACGCAATTTCCACGTTTCAAAGAGCCAGAAGAAATTCTGGCCTGCTGATAGGAACAGAGAGTTGGTGAAACCAAATATGTATTTCGCAGCTGCTTTGATCACCTTCGCGGTGAAAACGCCTACAGCAAACGAAGGAAGACCAACGAAGTCGACGAAAAACGCGAAGGCCCGCTCTCTTTTCCGTCTCCATGCAATTTTTCCTTCTTTTTCTCGCTTTTTTTCTCGAAAACCCACGAATCTATGTGTATGTGAATGTACGTATGTATAAGTACATCGTTGTGTATGTACCTTTGCTTTTCTAAAGGCGATGCAAACACTCGAACGAGAAGGACGATTCGTTTTTTTTAACTGTCAGGATAATTAATGCCGATCCTGCGTGAGAATTACTGGTTCGTAGCTATTTTTAAAGACATAGAGGATTCCCGGGCAACGAAAATAAGGAATAACACGACATCAACACTGCATACCGAGTGATTAAACATTTCCGGTACGTGTACGTTTGAGCAGGAATAATTAAAACTTTTATCTCTCTCCTCACGAGCAAAGAATAAATCATATCTCGAGGAAAATGATATGACGTAAAAAGATGATAAACTATACGCGTGAAAAGATATTCCCATTTATAATAGAATATTAATGAAGGAAGGCACGAGTCAATAGATTAAAAGTGAAAAGTCAAATTTTAAAACGTTATCTTTTTTCGATGCTAAAAGATATTCTGATTTATTAATATCTATTAAATAGGTATATGACTCCCTATAGGTATATTTATATATATTACGAAAATCACAAAACGACCACATATCAAAAACAAAATGCAACATTATTGAAAATTAAAAAAATAATTCAATAAATTTCAAAAAATTCTCATATCTTTCTTTCATTTAAAAAAGTATAATTTTTTTACCTCCGCATATATGTATATATAAATCTGATGTAAAAATTAGAATAACACATCATAACTGATGTTCGAATAACGATAAAAATTTATACTTAAAAGTATATCCTTCTTCACCCTTACAATCTATTACAATTATCCAGTTGTCGAAAATAAATGGGCATCACTCGCCAACGAAAACATTTTTAGTGAGTTATATTTTGTCGTTGTTTGCAAATATTCAGCTTGATTGAAGGATATTCTGTGCACGCAGCTAAAAATATACCCACGTGTATTCCCGCTGGCGAACTAACTTATCTGAATAAAAAAAATACCGTGTTATTTTGATGTAAAATTTAGTATATAAGTCATACAATATTCGTTCTTTTTATATACCGCTCGTAAATGTCATGCGTGCCGGTAAATCTGTTTCAAACACAACCAATTGTAACTTTATTATTACTTTTCCGAACTGCGCATTTTTACAAAAGATTCTTATATTATAAATATATGTATATTTTAGAAGCAGATTTTTTTTTGACATATATGTATACGTGATTAACTTTTCCTCAGCGAAAGTTTTCGAAATAGAATAATGACAAAGATGTTTTGCTTTCTTTCATACAAAGCTTTATTTAGAAAAAATCTAATATTGTGCATTAAAGAAAACATATCTTGATTGATGCGAAATAATAAGTGTTGACAATGAATAAATTTCTTTTTATGTAAAAAATTGCTAGAAAACATATGTAAATGATATATAAGCCAAATAGTGAAATTAATACGTTCGAATCGTACATCGGATAGAGTTTTTATACATACATATTGCATCATCGACTCGAATAAAAACAGATCAATAGTCGATTCTGGTATATATTCGAACAAATATCGTTTTCAAACGTACAAGATAAATGGCCCAAGTTTTAATAGCATTGAAATAGCCACAGGAAAAAACCCGAATTTATGAACCTCCGGAAGGATTTAATTTATTTAAATTTTAGATTGGTAAGCCAGGTTTAAATCCTGATTTACCACATGGCTTTTCTTGTAACGTGTACATGCGCACTTACCCTCTAGGCTTAAGAGAACTGTTATCACGAATGTGCGAGTTTTATACGTGTATAACCGTAAAAAAACCAATAAACTGTGCAAAATATTTCGCGTCATGAAAAAATTGATTTAAAAAATGGCCTAAGCTTTTATAAAACAGTCTTTCATTTATAATCGTCGTTAATTTTATGCATATGATAATCCAGAAAATATATTTATGTACAATTATACAATAATTTGTTATAAACAAATTAATCTTTTTATAACGCCATAAAGTTATGCATAAAGGCAAAATTAGTCGTGTTGTAAATAAAAAATAATATATTAATGATATTTTATATAATTATTTATGTAGAAAAAAATGAGATTTTAATTTTAATTTTTTTCCTTCTGTTTAATATTCACTATATTTTTTTTCTCTGCAACTAATGTTTAAAACATTAGCTAATCGAATATGAAAAAAGAACAAGGATATATCATGCATATACATTATACAATAGATAATAAAAAGCTTGTAACGGTATATATCCCTGGATTATCTGAAAACTTTCGCGATCGGGTCGCAGTTCAAGCGCTGAGAAAACATGTTTCGAACATAAACCCATTAATCATCGAAGTGGAAGGAGGCACCGATGACTGATGAGATACTTAACTTAACTCGCATCTAGATGGATTGAAGATGACTAACGCTCAAAAAGAAGAACCGATCGACTTAGTTTCCAACAATAGTCCTTGCATCCGCATACGTCATCCGATCTGAATAATTTTATATAGATACTTGCATATAATGCATAAAGGAAATGGAGTATTGAAAAATCTAAAAGTAAGATCTATATAATTTCCGCCTAATATATCTAAAGTAATACGCATATAAAATTCAAAATACGAGCGTAATAAGCGTAATCCATAAAATTAAATTAAATTTTATGTTTAACATAAAACATTTGTCTCTATTTTTCAATCTCTTTTTCCTACGGCGAAAAAATTAATGGCCTTTCTCTATTTTTATCTTTCTATTCCTATCTGTGCCTATACACTATACACACAAAGCGCTTTCGCTGGAAGGGTATTGAGCGCTTGTATCGCGATAGGCGCACTTTCTCTAGAAAAGATTTAACGCGTTATATGCGCAGACAGCGAGGTTTATTCGTCTCTCTTTCTCTCTCTCTCTCTCTCCGCAAAGTTAAGTAATTGGAAGGCCCAGCTCTGGTGATTTATCACCGACTTCTTGACGCACGAAAGGGCGCAGGGTTAGAGAGGAGGCTGGCTCCTCAAGCAGAGATTGTTCCCGCGTTGACCAATGATCGATCGTTCTGATAGATGCAACGCGTATTGCGAGCAGCCGCACGTTGCGGGCCTTTGCTGGACGGTGATTAAGTGATTTCCGTAAGAAAAATTGCGAAACGAATCTAGCGGGATGTCGGCCTAACTCCTCTATATAAGAGAGTATCTTACTCGGCGGTCTTTGATGTTGCATCGAAACATTCTAGTCTGTCATTCCACTTTGATTCCAGGTCAAAACGATATCAAGAAGCTGCGCAGGGAAAACGAGCAACTACGTAGGGAAATATGGAGCCTCAGGGATGAATACGACAAGCTCGAGGAAATTCTGAAGAGACAGAAAAATCACGACGAAAGCGAAGAGTACGAGGTGGGTGGACTATCAATTTTTTAATTGCGTATTAATAGAAAAGTGCGATGATGAATCTCTAACAAAAAAATCTCATCTTTTTACGTTTTTCAAAAAATGTTGTACTGAAAAATTTTATTAAATTCGAATAAATATTTATTTCAATACTGCCTTATAAATAATTTATTTGAAACTAATAATATTGATTTGATGTAAAAAATATTTATTTGATATAAGAAAATCTTTTTCAAAACAGATAAATATTTTATTTGTCCGAAATAAATGATTTATTAGGTAGTATTGAAATAAATATTTATGAATTTAATAATTGTTTTTCAGTGTACATAATTTTTAATTGAAATAAAAACCTATTATCACAAATAAAATAATCGGTACGATAAAAGAAATAAGAATATGTCGAAAATTGCGTTAAAATTGCAGGATCGCTCCGAGGAGGATGACGGCCCGCAGTCGGACTTTTCCGGCGACGAGGACGAGGATAACGAGAAGACGGCCGACGATTTTAACCAGGAGGAGCAGTTAGAAAACGTGGAGAATCAAAAGATCTCTTCCGAGAAGATGAGCAGTAGTCTGCATCGGCTTCACGTGGAGTTCGACGATCTGTCGGTCGTCGACGAAGAGGAAGAACCAAAGAGGGATAAGGAGAGAAAGGATACGACCCCGTCGGACGAGGGCCAGAGGAACGAGGCCACTCGACACCCACCCCCGTCGATCCTCGGCCCCCGGCAACTTCACGATAACATCCCGTTTTATCCGGCCACGTACGAACCAACGAGTAGTTTTAGCGGAACCAGTTATTACACCGAGTGCCCGTTCGAGTTCGGTCCGAGTACGGTCGATTTAATGCTGGCCGCGGATACGTCCGCCTTATTGGTTTCGCCTTGCTCGGGATTACAGTCTGATCCATTGATCCCGCCGGTCGGCCTGAATGCCGATCTGGATCGGGTGGCTGATCCAATGTTACCTCAAATTCACGTTCCGCCCGTCGGTTGGCAGAACGACGTGGTTCCTCAAAAACAGCTGCCGATTTATACAGGCACGAGCGTCGCTCCTATCGCGTCGGTAACAAGGATGCAAATGATGGGAAAATCGGATTCACACTCGGAACATCAGAAAATGATTCCTTTATTGGAAAATTCGACATCCTCCGATGCTTTTAGCTTGTCGAGGAGAAGGAATGTAAGTACGAGGCAACCCGCAAAATTCCAACCCATGTCAGCTATTCAAGATTCGCGAACGCAGCTTTCAAGTTCTGAAGAAACGCTGGGCAAGAACATTTGGAACGTCACCGCGAATTTTACCGATAAAATGCAAGCAATGATGAACGGAGAAAAAGATATGCCAAATTCGCGAATTAATCAAGATATGGAAGAAAATACTATTGTAGCGTCTACGGTGCCCGAAAAACCGAAACATTTTTTCGCACCGCTGTCTTTCAAATTGAAAAAACAAGAGGAAGAATCGCCGACCGCGAGTATAAGTCATTTTGGAACCGGAACCAGCTCGAGCAGCGGCAAAACAGCTTCTACAATCATTTCCAGGACCAATCCTTTCGCGCAAAAAGGTTCGGCAGATATTTATGTAAACGGCGCGATACCTTGCGAGGATGAGACTAAAAATGATTCGAAGACATTCCTGAGCACCGATAATTTCTTGATCGCGGACAACAGAAGCGCTCAATTGACGAAATCGGTATCGTGTCAAGATCTTTCAAGCGATTCTCAGAGTATAGAGCAACAATTAAAATTAAATCACATCGAATCTCAGATGTTTACAAAAAGCGACAATGCTCTGGACAATATGACAAACAATTCCGATAAACCGTACAAGAGTCATCTAAATGTGACATTGAAAGTACCACGAGTCGAGCAAACACCGAGCCCGGAGACGCCGGAGGTTCCCAACTTACCCTCGATAGACTACCGTCTCTTCAGGAATCCCTTTCTGAGAAACTTAGACAAGATCTGTCCCAGCTATCAAGTAGAGCCGAAACCTCCTTCTGCCACCAAGCCACTCTCTATTCAAGTAAATGACGATGGCTTCGCTTATCAATATCCGCCGGCTTACGGTCGAGGGGTTCACTTCAACGAGAAGTTTCGAACTACGCATTTGCCGGATCAGAATCGATTGCTGATACCCGGCGATCAACTGATGAGCGGCAAGCAGGACATCCAAGTGACTTCCTTCGAGAAACCAAGTCCTTGCACTTTGATACCGTCCGCGACTCCGTACGATCTGACGACTCTAAGGAGATTGAACGCAAATCGATATCTTCAAAGTCAGAATTTATACCAAAACGTTCCGTTTATACCGCGAGGTCAATTTTATCCGAGAAGAGGCGAAATGTTGTACTACGACAACGTCGCGACGAAAGTGCCGGCGCAAACGCAAACGTCGCTCGACGGTGACTCGCATCACGAGGACGAGGAAACGATCAGCGCACCAAATTCGCCAGGCGAAGAGAGACGGAAGAAGATCGCGAAGAGGGATAAGATTCTAGTCAAGGATCAAAGACCGCTATCGCCAGCGGCACAGAGAAGACTGAAGAAGCAGAGTAGCGCCACGTCGACGGATACGCTCGATTCGCCGGGAAAATTGACGCGAAAGAAACCGAGAAAATTGAGCACGACGACCATGTCTGACGCGCAAGAGGACAAGAATGAGAGCAGATCGTCGTCCTCGGGACAAGATTCGCCGCGCAAAGATCAGAACCGACGGATATCCACCTATATTAATCCTAAGAGACGACCGTCTCAAACGTCCTTGAAGACATCGAGGAGCGGAAGTGTGGACGCGTCCAAGGAGAAAACGGATGGCGCCGCGCCGAATTTAGAGCGCGAAAGGACGAACTCGGTCAGTAGTCGGGAAATTGCCAGTGTGAAACCTCGCAAGACTAGTACTAGTAGTGGTAATGTGCCATGGTGCGCGTGCTGGGGAAACGGCTGCATTTAATCGCAGTTATTACATCTCATTCAGGGATGAAACTATAGAGAAGCGGATACAAAGTGCAAAGTATGAAACGCTGATTAATTTCGATATTAAAAGCCAAATGTCAATAATTCTACAATTAGCATTAATTGTTATTCAAACATTATCATTAATTTTGTGATTAATTTCGCTCGCATAAAATTAATCATTATGCTTAAAAAAATTATAGAGTAATATATAAATAGATATTTAAAAATACTATAAATATTAGTATAAATAATTTAGATGAAACTATATTATATTACTTCATATATTACTCGAGAATTTAATGCGACAGATGCGTAGACTGACCTACTCAAATTTTACCTGAATGTCTTTCGATATTTTGATTTCGTACGCATTTCGCGAAATATTAAAACGAGAAGCTATCACTGCGGACCGAATGCGTTGATCCTTATTTATTTAAGACAGCTGCAATTTCTGTCAACAACGGGAGGTTCTTGCTACTTTCTGGTCCTCGACCGGCAGAGGGCTGGGTCGACTGAATAATTCGGAGGACAAATACCAAAGGGAAATGCTGATGGGTCGCGGAATGAATTCAGGAAGGAAGACTTCAACCTCCCACTGGTGTAAGGAGATACCGCTATCGTAGCCAGGTCGTAAAACAAGCACAGACAGCGGTAGTACTGTGGCGGCAGTACTGTCGCCGGGGTGACAGTTGTATCTAAACTAGTTCTGCCAAGAGACCATGAAGGCAACCCTGCATCTTCTCTTAAGGCAAATTTGCTGGGGTTAGCGAGCGTAAGCTTGTCCTAAACACGCGTGCGAATAATGGTACGAGTTCTCGAATTATATATGTAGCTCTCTCTAACAGCGATAATTCTACGATTAAATTTCTTAAACATAAAAGTCTGAAATATATTCAAAATATTAAATAAAATTTTTTTTATATTTTTATGTTAATGTGCTTTATACGAGAGTCTATTAATTTTATTTGTCGCAAAAAATGTGTACGATTTAAGATTAATCTCTATTTTAAAAAATTATTATTATTTAATTATCGTTTGCTCTCTAATTGTTGTGCATTAATTATTAGTTATAAATGTATTATTATTGTATAAACTGTAAAATTGAATTGTATACGAAATAACATTTCTAGTCATTCATTATAGTCATGCGGTTTGTCAATGTCTTAATTTATATAATTATATATAATATTAAAAAAAAAAACAATTAGCAATATTCTGGCAATGAGTATTCCATGCATTTATAGACAAACTAACTTTTAAAATAATAATGTTGAAATAATAAAAAAAGTGTATATATAAAAATAATTGCGTGTCGCATTGAATTAGTATGTAACACACAATATTTGTATATTTTGATAATTAATTTATATAGAGACATTTTATGTTTTTAAAGTAGTTTGTAATATCTATGAAATTTTACGTATATCTCAACACACGCTCTTAGAAAGAGCTAAACTTTTATTAAGTTTTATTTTAAATGCATGTGTTATGCATTGTACTTTTATACTTTCCATTCTAAAATACAACATGGATTTTGTATTTGAAATTATTATTCTATATATCCCCCAACGACTATTAAGTAATATTCCTTGCTTACGTCCCTGCAAATCATCGATTATTCGGTTGCATGAAATTTATTAACGGCCCAAAAGATACAAGAGAAACTGACCGGTAAAGTTTGTGATTATCTCTTCGCGAAAACTTCTCCGTCTTGTTATTCGTCGTTCAATTACACACGAAAATGAAGAGAGAAAGATACGAGAAACGGGAGATACCATTATGCCTTTCAGATTTTACGAAACTTCAGAAAAACGTAATTAAGATTCAATATAAATAAGATAATCATCGTCCTATATTTTCAAATAATCATCACGCGAATGAATTTTTAAAATTCTTATTTATATATTCGATTTGATTTTATTTTTGCATCTTTAACAAACATACATATAATTGTTATATTCGTCATAAATTTAATTCTCTCTACACACACACACACGCACGCATAACTATAATCTTTTAGAATTATTCTAAAATTTATAAATTTTTATGATTTTTTATTTTTTAAATTATTAATTTTCATATATGTTTCTCAAAATTGTTTAATAACTCCACTTTAAATCAAAATAAAGAAGTCTTTTAAATATAAAAAATATTTCTTCAGTATATTCATATGCGTGTACTGCAAAATTTCAGCAACAGATGTACAAGAATAATATTTTCTGACATTACGAGCACTTATCCTACATTTCTTCAATCCATACTGTAACATCTGGCGATATATTTGGCGCACTTACGAACATGCGGAAGTATCAACTCATTTAATTATCGCGAACGTCCGTGGTAGACGTCCGTGAGAGTCGCGAATAGCAGCAGCGAATTTAAATAAAAAAATGTCTACGTCATTCTCTCTCTCTCTCGAGCGAGCGAATCCTTTTGCGAGAAACTGTGGGAAGAGTCGGTTGGGTCGTGTACGAGTGCCAACGATGAGGGCAGCAAGGAAGATTGCAGGTGCAATTAAAATGCAAATCATCCCTTTTCCCGCGACCCATCCGCTAGACCATCTTTCCAGGAGGTCTCTGGTCCTCTCTCGCAACCCTACACTATAATGGTAACGCCGTCACCGATTAACTTGAAACTAGTTTAGAAGCGACTCGACTCAGTTCGGCTCCCCGCACTCGGCTATACGAAACCGCACACAAAGAGCGAGAACAAAACTCGGTCCCTCTCTCAGTCCCTCTTTCTCTCAAAGTGCCACGTAAATGGAAGATGGTATACGCTAATACGGTCTAACATCATTTGCAAATGTCACTGCGAGACGTGCTCCCGGCATCCAACACGAGATACGTGAGAGAGGTTCATCTTATCAAGGGCGAAACAGACTTCGTGCTACGACGAATATAGAGATTATAATAGAGGTCTCTAAGATTGTCTTAATGTTATATATGTCAAGGAATTCGTTAATCCGGATCGATTATTCGTAACACGCGGACGCGCAAAGTAATTACAACTAAATTATTTCAAAATGCAGAATAAAAGTAATAATGTCAAATCGTTATCTTAGTATCTTAAAATGTACTAGAGAAAAGATAATAGGAATATATTTCCGTTATTATCTTTAATTCATATAATTAATGGTTCAAATTAATAAATTATATCATTATTTAATTATTGTTAAATATTTTTTATATACTGAAAAGAAATTTGTTTAACTTGACTAAACTTTTCAACTAAATTACTAGTTTGTTGATTAAACATAATATTTAGTATTTAAGTCAAATATACATTTTGTTAGATTTAAATGTTATATTTAATTTAAATATTTGTATTTGTTCAATTAGCAAAATAATATTTAATTGAAAGATTCAGTCAAGTTAACAAATCTTTTTTCAGTATACATTTAATATAGAATATCCTGCCATATCACAAAAGCCAATTTAATAAGATTTCGCTTGGATTCCAACAACTTCATATCTCTGACATTGTTCAGACGAACAAATCGTTACCGAGACGAGTATGCAGATTAATCGCGAGGCAGCAGCAATATCGCTGTCATCTGTCTGCAAGATAACTGCGGAATGCGGACAGGCCGGAAGTAACGTCGCATTGTCTTCGTGGAAATAGCGCGGAACAAGATGGAAGAGACAGTACCGTAATAGTCTGATTTCATTTGCAAATGTCATCAAGAATTTTCACTCCGCTCGGCGGAACCGTCTCGCGCTTCTCATGCGAGATGATAAGCATAATAATCCAAAGTAACATAATTCCCACTAACGCATGCTACTTAATTAATTATGCGGAAGAACTGTCGCTCTTCTGTTCGCGTTCAATTTACAAATTACAAAATACTGCATTACGTTCCAACTAATATGCAAATTTACAAAGCTACTCTCTAACAAGAAGTATTTAAGGTGCGAAGAAAACTCGCTTCAAAAATATAATAATATGTATAATACATTCAATAACATATGATAATATGTAATAATTCTGTTAAGATAAATGTGTGAAAAAAATAATAGATAATAAAAGTTCGTCGAATAATGTAATATATTACAGTTTTCGATAAAATGACGTGACAAAGATCTCGGTACGGCACACCTACTGCTCTCCAAAACTTCGCGGAGGAGAAAATGTCAAGGCCGCGATCGGCATAAGTTTCGCCCGAAAAAAATTTCAAACATCCCTCGAACTCGCGAAAGCTTTCGCAAGAATCCGTGAATCGTCTCCGTCCCCTTCACTGTTTCACCGTCGCTTTACATTATGCACTTCTAAAAGTTTCACAAGCCTTTAACTTGAATGGTGCGGATACTTTACCCCATGCAGAAATTTCACCTAAGTTCCATTATATTTTGTGCGTTTCCACAATTACGTTCTCGTCATAACCAAGTCTTATTGCCGAACTTTTTAGATTTAAAAATAACGAAGCTTTTTATACGCAAGAAACGAACGAAATAAACTTTCTCGACTGTTATTGCAGATTGATATAATTTTGATTTAAAAAAATATATGTGTGTGTATATTATAAATTGGCATATCAAAGATGAGAACAATAAAATATATAAAATAATATAGTAATAATGCAGTAATATTTTTAACTAACTGAAACAAATTTTAGTATTAAATTTTAAAGTGTAAAAATACATTTATATACAATAATTGGAAAAAATATATATATATGTATTTATTATAGATATAATTTTGATATTTAAAACTTATCTATTTTACAAATCGTTGTAGTATTTTTCTATTTTGTTTTATTATATTTTCTTATAAAAAAGAAAATGTTTATAGCAACAAAAGTAAAATAAAGTTACTTTGCATATTACAAAGAAAAATCTGAAATGTATGAGAATATGAAAAGTGTTCTTAGCGTTTACATTATTTTACATTTCCACAGTTTATGCTTAATCTGGCAGAAAAAATACGGCATGATAATCGCTAGGATAAAGATGATGAATATTCACGCAATGAATATTCATATTGTTGTGTGAGTTAAACAAATTTTGAATTCTAAATATAGGATTCTAACACAATAAAATCATGTGTTACAATTTCGTTTTTATCGGGCAAACAAGATAACCGAGGAATTGTCAATTTTTTCGGACAGGAAACTCTATATATTCCGGCTTAATGAGCAGAAAATACTGGTATAGTAATATTCCATAGTATAAGTTTCACGAACTTTGCGAATGTGACATTTAGATCCATTTAAAGCTT